TCATCCTCCTTTGTTTGCAGTCTTTTCCGTTTTTGCTTTAACTCTTTATTTATTTATTTAACCTCTCAACTCCTTGCACTAGACGTTCTATCCTTTATACTCTTACGAATACTTTATAATTCTTCACTCTCAAATTTGAGCATTGGAGTGCCTTCTGCAAGTACATCAGCATGGAAACGACAACAAGCGCGGAATGCATAAGAAACGACAATATTATCAAGGACATCAAAATTTTTCCTTCTTTAAAAGCTCGTTTACGTATAACTCACAAGTCACAACAATTACACCGAATTATCATATTTATTATTTTATCTTCTCACAAAAATTATGCAGTTTCTAGTCCCTAAACAAGGATAGTTTTGTACCTAACCAGCAAAAAAATAAAAAAAGAAAAAAAATTTGAACCCATTGCAGCTTCAATTGTTAATGAAATGGAGAAAGAACACTCGGGTGTTGGAAAAGGAAACTCTAGGCGTTTTGGGAAAGGAAAAACAAAGAAAGAGGCCAGACCCAGAGGAAGATGACAGATGGGTGTGTCTTGTTTCCACTTGGCCTGATATGCAAGGTAGTACTTGGTCTCGATTAATTCTTATAAAAATATATATAATTTTCGTGCTTCTGGTATTCTTGAAGAAGCAAGGGTAGTTAAAAGAGATATCATGAGGCTTGTGGTTTTACCAGCAGCTATTCTCACTTTGATTACCATATTCATCTCTCTACTCCGTTTCATGCGACCGTCCGAATGGAATATTATTATTGGTAATTCTCCTCAAAATAATAATTATTATAATAACAATATCTCTCGACAACACAGCCCTGCTCATGATTATCACAGCATATCCGGTCTTGCTCCTCAAATAGTAAGAAATCTCTCCCTGCAATCTGCATGCACGAGTTATTTAATTTATTTCTTAATTAAAAGAGAAAAACCCACAAAACGTTTAATTGGGCAATATTCAATTATTTATTTATTTGGAACTGTTGGTTTAATGTTTTGTAGGTGGGGGAAGAGATTAATAATATATCAATTAGTGGCATGAATGTGAATTCAACAACAAAAAGAATATTTGGAAAAACAAGATTGAGTAGCAGCCTTGATAAATTGGAAGCCAGGTTGAGCAGAGTTCGGGCTTCCATAAGAAGAGAAGCTGCTCTTGTTAAGAACATCAATATTTCGACATCCAATTCCTCCACTCTGAATTATCATTTAGATGATGTTCACCATGTTCCTCGAGGTCGGGCATACAGGAACCCAAATGTTTTCCACAGGTAGGTAGCTTAGGAATTTATTTATTGTTAAATAAATATTAGTTTCTGATTCAGATAATAATAAAGCACCCCACCCATTTGGATTTGGAGTAGTGCTACTATACTAGTACTCAAATTAAGCAGATAGATACATTGCTAGCTAAGCTGTTCAAATTATATATGTATGATTTTATGTTAGTCCAACAGGAGTTACTTGGAGATGGAGAAGCGGATGAAGATATATGTATATGAAGAAGGAGACGTTCCAATATTCCATGGGGGACCATCAAGAAGCATATATGGAACAGAAGGGAGATTTATTTATGAGATGGAAAAGGGAACATTGTTTCGCACAACTGACCCAAACAGGGCTATTGTTTATTTCATGCCTTTCAGTGTGGTGAGAATGGTTCGTTATATTTCCCGCAACCACAAAGCCATGGGACGTGTAATCAAAGACTACATCAACCTCATCTCCCGTACATATCCCTTCTGGAATCGAACTCTTGGTCCCGACCATTTTATGCTCTCCTGCCATGATTTGGTACTTACTACTTACCATTTTTCCCCTCCTTCATCATCCCCCACCTTGTTTCTAACTTTAAAATATATATATATATATATATATAT